ACTTCATAGTGTTCGACACGATGAGAAATAACGCAAACTTGCGCTGTTTCAGAACATGTCATACCACATCTCTTTTTGTGGGATGTTCACATGGCTATAGGTAGTGATAAAACTTGATACTACTTCTTATTTCTGCAGTAAACATAGCTACCATTTTCAGCAGTACCAATATTGATATGTTTTTTGATTTGTAGATCTACCCCCTAAAGATCTGAGAAAAACACTTTCCATAATCTGGATAAATTATAAAAAGACTATACCTGGTTCGTATATGCTAATTACGGCGCAATTCTTACGAAAGCAGTTCTTCCTGTTCGTTTTCAGAACCAATTAAGGAACCAAGTTACTTTTTATCAGTTACAAAGCAATTACCGGGTCTATGATTCAAAATTAAGTAGCAATTTGCCTATATTGATTTGCAATTTCAGTATTTTTTCTCGTCTTCCATTGAAATTGAGATAAGGCACCAATCACCCCAATTGTATGATTCCATATAGCTATCCATTTTTCTTAGCGTTACTCATTAATTCATTTATTTCTTTACCTTTAGACTTTGTTCTACCAAATATACATCATGCACGAGCTATATCTACCTTACTTATTACTTAGACATGTATTCACATGACAAGCCCATATCCAACTATGTGGACCACCGGATGGCTAAGATATTAGTTGGATTGGACACCGTCTTCCATAGTATCGTTAAACGTCAAAATGGATTCAACTCACAGCGGAAACTGTCGATTGAAGGATTGAAAATCTAGATATCTTTTATTATTGTGGCAGTGGTACTTCAAAATTGAAAATATTTACCATATTCTAGTCAAAATTTCAAACATTCTTATCCAAGTCTTACATATTGCATTTTAAAGAAAACACCCTACCCTACCTCATCCTCACCCTTCCCCTCTCAATTGTATTTGTTTCTTTAAAAAAGAAATGATGTGGTATGTTAGGTGATCTGATCCTTCAATTATACCGTATTAATGAATTTATAAAACCTCTGATCCCTAAAATCGTTAGGTAGCCCTATTATAATTTGTAAAACAAATACTAACAAGGAACATTTGGCATGCGGTATATAACCAACAACTAAAACCGACTTTTTAAATCTATAAATCGCCAATGTCAGAATGTACAAAATCAAATGTTACAGATGACGATGCTCTAAGCAGTATTTATATTTTGGATAAGCGAAACTTTAAGGATGCTGCCCGTTTAAAGTACTCGATATAGTTTTAAAATACTAATCATGCAATACATTGTGATTAAACTGCAAATAGAGAGAGAGAGAAATGGGCTTTAACGTCCACTCGACACAAACTACGTCATTTCGGGACTAACATATGGATTAATTTTTATTTCAATAATTCGCTTGCGCATAGGGGTTTTTAGCAGTGGGAGGAAACCGGAATACCTGGAGAAAACCCACGAGGTTGGACAGGCGACCCTACTCTTTGTCACGTAAAACCGGGGATTCGAAACCACGGGGGTCGACTCAATGACAGACTTTATGATACAGCGCGCACACGCTAACCATTCAGCCATTCAACCCCCCAAACTGCAAATAAATACAGATATTTATAAATCTCCGAAACCTGCTTTAATTCACAATGCACGAAGCGGTGATGTCATATTATACAACTAGAATTGGGACAATTATAATAAACAGCATGAACATTTTAGGGCAATAAGCCGTCGATGGCATCCGGAATCTGGAGAACCCGGTTTGACCTGAAGATATCAACGGTTCCTGATAATATTATATATTCTAATACTTCGTAGCCGACCGGAGAAGGTTCAGCAGTTCCATCTTTATGTAGTTTAGATCTATATTAGTGAATCAGACATGTAGAATATTATTCTAAGCTCAACACCAAAGTACTTCTTTCTTTCAGTTATTGTCAACATTATTAATTACTTATATTTAAGAAGACAGCTGCTGCACGCAATGCCATTGATCATAACAATATACACTTCATTTACATATTTATAAAAATCATGTCGCTGTTTCTAATTTACGCTTCATACCGAAAGTATTTGAAAAATATATATTTAAAAATTGTTATTTTGCCTAAAAGAACGACAAACGTGTGTTGCGATTTGAGCGTCTAGTTTACTACAAGGTTCGGTGTTGGGACCAATCTATATATATGCTGATGATCCACAGCTATATATAAATATGTATATCTTTAAGCTCGTTACCAGTGATTTTTGGATATAAAAACTTCAATAGTGTTTAGAAGAAATCAAATGTTAAATGGGGTAGATTTGCTTAAACTCGATGTTGAAATTCGTCACAAATTCAGGTTTGTTGAATATGCTGCCACTTTATATTGTAAAGCTATCTTTGAACAATCTTGTGATAAATGGGCTATAGTAGTGTTCCATAATAATAATAAATGTTATCCCTGATCGTTTTGACAAGCAACGCGTAAAATAATAAGCAAATAAACAATTTTGTTTTGGATTGATCAAACTCATAACTTCTCTCTTTTAAGTTTTCACTAGCGAAATTTACACCATGCACAAGTAATCAAAAACATAAATCATAAAAAAAAGAAATCTACTTTGTCATTCGTTCTATATTTCCTTTCCTTTTTTTCCGAACAAAAAGAAATCCCACTTAAAAAGTTTAGTTTATTATTAACAAACGTACATCAAACAACAATTGAACATGTCAATTTATTTTATCTCTCAAACATAGCCAACAAAATTGATTTCATATTTGTAAGGTATTCGACCATAGAAAGATAAAATATACATTTTGTTTGGAGTTAATTAATCGGAAAAAATGTAATTAAGATTCGACTGCTGATAAATTTGCACATCAATGATAATAAAATGTGTTATTGGTTACTATTTGTTTATGTATGTTTATTTACTGTTCAAACGGATAAATAATGTAGGTCATTGTCCTTATATGTACTACGTTATAATCAGTCCTAACTGTACTGATCTGCCCCGAAAGGGCTAAAGAAGACGGGCATACACTGTGTGTATGTGCTATGAGTGAGATTTTTTCTAGATAGCGGCGCTACGGTATACTCTTATTTAGAATTCCAACTGTAAAGGACTCTTATTACGTGCACGCTAATGTGTATAGAGGACCGCGCATTTTAGTCCGACCCGAACGATTATACGTTGTCGCTGTCCCTACACCACTGAAATATCCGATGAACTTTCTCGCCCAACGCAGGGATCGAACACGGGATCTCAAGATTAGCGAGACAACCTCTTATTCATTGAGCCACCGTGGCTCCCCAGTATCGTCAAAGAACAACTGCAGTAACATAACTGCAATAACAAAGGCGATATTAAATGCATCGCCTTCTTAACCAATCGTATAAAGATTAGTCCGGCAGCAGATCGACAAACCTGGAAATATAGTCCACCTAATGTTTTGTTTTTTGATGAATTATATATCTTCAGTACGTGTAGGTTCAGAATCCGGATGATGCCACCCTTGCACCCTTGGGAAACTTTAAATATTTAGTGGGGTAAAATTTGTGACAAATTCTCTCGGACCCCGACTTGAAGGTGGTTTCTATAAAAATTCGACCCTCTGAACCCAATGATCATGGGTATTCCTCCTGAAAGTAACGATTAATTCCGCTAGGGCGCCAAATTCAAAATGGAGGCTCATTTTGGCGGGAAACTAATAAAGGTGTGTAATATATTGAAATAGGTTTTCGGTGGATTATATATCTTAGAAATGTGTAGATTCAGAAATCCGGATAATGCCACCCTGGCACCCTTTAGGAAATTTAATTATTGAAGATGGCCGCCATGAGGCATTTTCTGGTTATTTAGTGGGGTAAAATTCGTGACAGATTTCAAGGTGGGTTCTATAAGAATCCAACGAGCTTAGGTTTTTGTCCTAAAAGTGACGGCTAATTCGACTAGGAGGCCAAATTCAAAATTAAGGCTCATTTTGGCGGGAAACTAATAACGTTCCCTAAAAAGGTGTGTAATATATTGAAATATAGGTGTCCAACATATTCCGACCTAAAGATATTCCAGGTTGAGCTCATATTCAAAATGGTGGTCATATTTGGCGATACATGGCAAAATGTGCCATGACCGAACGAAACGAACTTCAAATCGAATATTTGAATGTCTTCAAGGGTACCAGGGTGGCATCATCCGGATTCTGAATCTACACACATTGAAGATACATAATCCATCAAAAAACGTTAGGTGGACTATATTTCCATGTCAAGGCTTAAAATGGGGTTTAATTCTTATTCATTGGGCTCTCGAAAGTGCAGATCTCAATTTTTATCAAAGACGCAAAATACCCATTTGTATAAAACGAGCATATTCTAATGTAGTGCCGTAATAAATGTTAGATCCATCTTTTGGATTGCACAGATTTTCAAGAACGTTATTTATCTAAAGAATGAATGAATGAAGTGTGGTTTTATGCCACGTTAGCTCCATCTGGGCTATATTGCGCCATTTATCTAATGCTAGGTTTCCACTGTCGGACGATGTGTTACGATAAGGCTGTCCCTATTGAGTCCACGATCTGGTACGTGCTGATACGTTCGGATACATTTCGATACGATCAACAAAAATTTTCTACGACTGACCACAATATGGGATCACCACGATTACTCCACGCTTAAAACCACGATTTCAATCGTAGAGCGAATCGTGATTGTGAGAACCTAGCATAAAGAGATGGACGGTCAAATATATGTAACCTAAGAGACTGTATAATATATTAATTTGAAATATTAGTTTATGAGGTATGTTGTTTTTAAATAGGTTTTTGGTCGTGTTCAACAACCTTTCAGTTTGTACATTTCTTTGTCTTGTAACCTGCCTTTACGTATCTTAAAAAGAGGCAAGGTCCATTAATTACGTGTAACCTGTGTCAAAGTAAGAAACCGTATAAAATATTATTTCAGAAAGTATATTGCTTCTAAACCTGATTTTCTAGTGTCTAATAATCTTTACCCTGTTTACTGTTACACACGTATCTTATTTTTCAGGTGACGTGGCAGAAAGTTGGTGAGGATTTTTTCACAACGATTGGTCGATTAACGTGGGTGAAGAACGATAACATTATGGTGGAACATATCCAGAAAACACCAGAAACAGTGTCAGACTGGAATTTATTAATAAAAAATGTCAAACCGTCAGATGCCGGGTTGTATGAGTGTAAGATAACGGCAACAACCATATTAAAAAGAACAGTTCAGTTAAATGTCATAGGTAAATAATATTAGATATCTTCTGACATAATTCAATAAATGCGATTGATTGAATCTTGTTATAATATTTCAGATTGGGGCGTGTCTGATTGCAGGAACTCTTAATCTATAATCTCTGTTCATAATTGGATTTGTATGACATGTGAATCTGGGGTTGTACATAAAAAGAAACAATACGAACTTCCTTGCTGAAACTATTTTCATGGTTTCGATTTTTTCATTTTTAATATTAAAAATAGTTTTGTCATAGTATTTCACCACTTATGCAATTAATGTAATGGATCGTTTCACGACTTTTTACTTTTTTATTTCATTCTTTTGATCACAAAACTAAAATCACCACTTACACTCCTCAGATAATATATTTTAAAAAAAGCTATGTAAGATAATACGGATCAACACCACATGAACGTCTTTTAAAGGGACAATAACACTCTTGCTGACTTGACAGCTCCAGAAAATAAAAAATAGCCTTATCCTAAGTACTGATGTGTTAGTGTCCTACCTGTTGTGTAAATTATCCATTAAATCCTATTTTACTTGTCCAGAGGGTTCAAAAATATTTTAAATCCAAGTCACATTTGAAAAGCTTTACGTCAGGCTTTTCAAATCATTTAGTTGAATTTTTCCAATTTTTTAAATTAGGTGTGTTAAGATGAAATTTGTATCATCAATTAATTAGAATATTGTAAAATAGTACAATTTGTTGATCAGAATAAAGATTGGGACATATTATTCAGTTACAACAAGAGTGGTATTGAGCCTTTAAATTTGATATTTGTTCCCGATAAATGGAGAACAGAAAAAAAATATGAATAAAAATGGGCCAATGCAATCCATTACTTTTTTTGTAACTTTTCAAAAGAAAATAATTTTACACTATAATAGCGGAAAGAAACCAGTTTAAAGAGTTGATGTAATAATACTTCGTTAAATATCAATTATATTTTTCTTTAGTGTAGATTTTGATATAAAAAATGATGTCCTTAATGTAGTTTACGGTTTATATTTGCTTGAAAACAATTCGGTTGTTCAATATCAGTGTTTAGACATCACGTGTATGATAAGACAAACTGTATAAGGTGGTTGTGGTGGTTCCATGTTTCAGTGTTCGAGACACCTGTATATGAATTATCACAATTTAACAATTTAATTTATACACCCTTAATCACCCATTATATATATTAATTCTATCTCCTCTAATTCAAATTTCTTATCTTTTTCTTCTTCCTATATAGGTCCTCCCCTCCACAAATCAGGTAAGGGTCGCTTTTCTTTTTTTAATTTCTAAATAAATGCCACATTTCAGATATAATTTGATAATTCTCAATAACCGATGTGTCAACAAGGTAAATGTAACAGAGCTTGAAATTAGCAACACCAATCAAGCTTCTTAGTTATTCATTAAGAATAAAGCATGTCCCTTGGAGACGACGTGGAGTCTTTTACTTCCGGGTGTAGTTGTCGATTGATTTACATTGAATACTCGAAGCAATTCTTACTGCTAATCGCCTCTGCGTCTTTTTCTTTATTTCAATCCAGTCTAAATGAGAAAAGTAGCCACCGATATCTTTCAGAAATACTAATCAATTGAAATCAGCACAATAGCGCCATTGTCTGTGTTCTTAGACAAGACATCTGCTTTCCTGAACCTGTCATAGTCTTAAAGGACATGATCAAATGCTATGATGTGCTAATTACAAGATGCATTATGTAAGAGTTATAATCGTTTAAAAATAGATAATGAAAATGAATATATTTCAGTCAAATTATTTTATTCTGGGCGCAGTTACGAGTCTTTGAAGGTATGACGACATAGTCTCGATTGTCAAGTACTATTGCAACGATAATAAAAAAGTCTCAATTATCGATATTTAAAGGAGCTAAGTCTCTAACTCAGTATTTACCATCATATTCGAAATTAGAATTCAATATTCATCAATATTGATGTTGTTATCATGCTGTGAAACTATAAGATCCTAATATCCAATATTTAATACATAATTAACATTTTATAATCAGTACACGAGTCGCGTACCTGATGGTTTCGGGTGCCATTTTTGTAATGAACAAACAACAACATTTCCCACAACACAATGTGGAAGTAATAAAGGCTTTATCACAAACGACAAAATAATAATTTAAAAAATGTGTAGAATGCACCAAGTTTGAGTAAACGACTGCCGTTTAATTTGAACTTTTCATGTATTTCAACGAACAAAATTAGAAAATACAATTTTTTCACAAATTGAATATAAATCACTTAAAGTAGCTAAGTCTCTAACTCAATATCATCCAAAATCTTCAACATTGAAAACACCATTTATTTGTCAAATTAAATCAACATTCATGTTGTGATCTTACCGGAAAAAGATGGGCTTTTGATATCCAATATTTAAGACAAAATAAACATTTTACCATTGGTACACGAATCGTGTACCATGAAGGCGCTTCAGCCCCAGTTGTAACAAGAGACTCGAGGGACGAGGCTAGACACATTGCACCAAATCAAACGGCGTATGTAGACTGGAATAACCAGACGCTAGAAATTTGCAATCGCTTGAGACCGCTGGCTTATTTCGCCGAACATAACTGATTTGAAATTGGAGTAAAAACGGAAACCATTGAATGTAAATCAGTTTATATACATTCATATTACAGTATTATATGCGTTGCGACCCAAATGTTAGCGATTTAGCTCCTTTAACATACATTCATATTACATTAATATGTGCTTTTAGAACCGTTTTGTCTATTTCAGCCCCCCCCCCCCAAAAAAAAAAAAAATTAAATTAGATCCATACGCCTTTAAATTAAATTATTAAATAGCTGTGTGTTTTAATCCGTCAACATTTACAACCACCCAATGATCTAGGCTTCTCATGTGAATTAATGTATTAATGATAATTTACATAAAACTTGAGGCCAAGAGAAAGACATGCAATAGGAAAATTTAGCTCTTACATAGTGCATCTTTAAACTCGTGTTTTGCGCCTAAGAATAAATGCATGTTCTGCTACAACGCCCAAACATGAAATTATTCTGGTATTTAATATTACCAAGCATCTCAAGTCGCAAATGCGGATTATAAACAATCCTGATATTAATTTTTGAAGGCTTTCAAATGAGTAGAAAACTACGTAATGAAACCTTACTTTGAATCTGTAGAATGTTTACTAGGTTTTGACAACAAATGTTCGTCCTTACAACTGATCAAACAAACCCAGCATGTTTGTAAGAATATAATCATAAGCGATCACCATGTTTTAATGACAGGAATCATATCTCGAAACAAACTAACGCATTGCTGTGGTTTTCAATAGGGTCAATGATTGTAATTGCAACTAATCAAATAGTCTAAAATACGCTGGTCTAGAATAACATGACACCAATGTACGAACCTATTGAAATATGGACATGTGTTAGTGTGCTAGAATATACATTAACCTCGCTCCGCTGTGCATATTTGTATATTAAATGAAACATCGTAGTAGATGATTTAATGTTCTTCGTGCAATAAGATAGCCACGGTATTCCAAGATAAAAAAAAATTCACCGACAGATACGTTTGTTTTGGATGGATACAAGTTTTTCGAGTCATGGCCGCCCATGGACAAAAGTACGATAATTTGTTGTTGGTTTTTTTTTGTATCCCGCCTTTCGAAGAACCAGGGAACTGTTAAATTGGATTCGTCCGTCTGTCTGTCCGTCACACATTTTGGGACATAATAACCCTGCTTCTAATTGAGTTCGAACTTGGTGTAGGTGTTTATTAGGTCAATCCCTTGACGGAGTTCGAAGATAACCATTTTCTGCTAAGAGTAAGCAGAGATAAACAATTTGATTGGTTGATGCTTTGGGACACGATAACTTTAGTTCTACTTAAGTGAGAGTTATGAAACTTGGTGTATAGTTTCATTACATCAATACCTTGACTTAAGTTCTATGATGAGCAATTTCTGCTCAGAGTAAGCAGAGCAATAAGCAGTTTGATTGGTCGAGACTTTGGAACATAATAACTCTCATTCTAATTGAGCTAGAATGTTCACACTTGGCGTAGGTGTTTTATTAGGTGAATGCCTTGATGGAGTTCGAAAATGAGAATTTTCTGCTTAGAATAAGCAGAGATAAGCAATTTTATTGGTTGATGCTTTGGAACACCATAACTTTAGTTTTAATTAAGTGAGAGTGAGGACACTTGATTGGCCGATACTTTGGAACACAATAACTCTTCTAATTTAGCTAAAGTGTTCAAACTTGGCGTAGGTGTTTATTAGGCGAATTTTCTGCTTAGGGTAAGCAGAGATAAGCAATTTGATTGGTTGATGCTTTGGGACACGATAACTTTAGTTTTAATTAAGTGAGAGTGAGGACACTTGGTGTATAGTTTTATCACATCAATACCTTGACTAAGTTCGATAATAAGCCCTTTCTGCTCAGGGTAAGCAGAGCGATAAGCAATTTGATTGGTTGAGACTTTGGAACACAATAACTCTCCCTCCTTCTAATTGAGGTAGAATTTTGAAACTTGGTGTAGGCGTTCATCAGGTGAATGATTTGATCAAGTTTGATGATAAACATTGTCTGCTTTGGGGCACGATAACTTTGGTTTTAATTAAGTGGGAATGATGAAACTCCGAGTATAGATTCATTATATCATTACCTTGAGTAAATGCGACGATGAGAACTTTCTGCTTGGGCTAAGGAGAGATAAGCAATTTGATTGGTCAAGACTTTGGAACATAACAACTCTGCTTTTAATTGATGTAGATGTTCATTAGGCGAATGTTTTGACTGAGTTCAATGATTGCCATTTTCATTGGTCGATGCTTTAGGATAAGATAACTTTGATTCTATCTGATAGAGATTGATTAATCTTAGTGTATAGTTGATAATCAGTTTGATTGCTTGATACTTTTGAAAAAAATAAATGTGCGATAAATTAATACGTGTCATCTATTTATTTTTGGGATTTCGGCTGGGGACATCAGCCTCATCCTTGGCATGTTTTTTCTTATTTTAGCCTTTTCCTCGGAAATTTCTACACGCTGTAAAACCATTCAGATCTGACATTATAACAACCATGTTTCTATTTTTTGCAGGGATTTCTGTACAAGGTAAAGAATATGTGGAGCATGGAGAGTCTATTGTGTTAGAATGTAATGCGACAGGTGGAGCTCGCATACCCGATGACATTGATTGGTTTAAAAACGGAGATAAAATAGATTCACATAAATACAGTAATATAATGGTGACAAAATACAAATCGCTAGAAAACAGAGCCTTCATCAGTCATTTAATTATAGACAGAAGTACGAAGGACGATACAGGCACCTATATCTGTAGAAGTTCCTTGGATGAAATAAACAAAAAGACTGTTACTGTTTTAGTTGGTGAGCTTCACCTCAATCATGTCATCATTTGGAAATGAATCAATCGACTTGCATGATATGTTTAATTCAAAACGATTTCTACATATAGAAGCTACTGCATCAGCAGACGCACCGCATTAGTGATAAGATTCAATTAGGGAATCATTTTATAACAATGGTTTTGTTAGGCAAAGCCTATTCAACAATTTCAGTTCTTTGTCATTGAAATTGTATCTTTTCGTCAGCCATTGGCAGATATAATTTATTATCAGTTAAATTGACCTTGAAATATAACTTAAACATAGAGATTAGATTACACTTGTCATCATGTGTTTTTATTTTATTTTATTTTATTTTTCAGCCGATTCTTCAAATGTTAAAAGAGGTGAGTTGTAATCTTTCTTATATAGTTGTATGGAAAAAAATTGGTTTGATGACGACTAATTCTTTACACTTTATATTGTACCTGAGTGACATTATAATAGGTTAGATTTACGGAACAAACACATGGGTTCGATGCAAAACCAAACGCAGAAGCATTTAAACCAGTCTCGACTGTTGTGCTTCAGATGTAGTCCGACGACCTAATGCAACTTTAAAATGATGGCCCTGAGACATGTCTAAGTATTACTTAGCGGGTAGCTAATGGTTCAGACAATAAAGTGACTAATTGATTATGTGATGCTTCGGGCATTTAGGTTGTACTGGGTAAGAAAAGGAGCGGGAGCAGAGCAAACAAAATACAAGAGCCTAAGTTCTGGGGACTGTTCCGTAAAGGTTGTTCCACACTAAATAACGATTGTCACGCAAGTCACACCCCCCCCCCACCCCTCAAGCCAAGTGTTGTGTTGTAGTTACCACTTTAATCTTTGTCATCGCTTGTATTTAGTTCTTGCTTTCCGAATTTAGATAGTGTGGCAACTGTAGCGCATGGCATTGAGATGTTGGGTGTAATAGGTCTGTTTTCAATAGATTTAATAAACCATCCGACTAATGTTGGGCATTTTCCACGGTGATGTGTGTTAAAAGGCTTTCACTGGATGGCACATAATACATAACTAGCCAACCACATTAAATAAGAGTCGAATTCGATCTTGTATTTGGAGGATCCGCTACTGATAGACATTGAAAGTTTAAGAAAGTGTCTCTTTGACTATCGATGTGTCGACGAACCATTATGCTTGCTTATACGTAAATCATGTACAAAGTATTTTATCTCTACAATTTTCTGCAATACAAGACATTCTTCAATCTTGTTCTGTTTTATTGAATGGTATATATATTTCATCCTGGATAATGACTAACATTGTATCACGTGGTCGAATAGAAATCCATATTTATGCCATTGTTATATATATGTATATATTTCTCACAAAAGGCGCAGTCAGAAATATATTTCCGTGTGGGTCTAGGGTTCCAATAGACAAGAACGCTTTAATTGATATATTCGCATTGATATAATATTCAGCTACGCATTATCAATAATTTCATGTTCTATACTATACGGCGTGTCACACATTCCTCTCTAATTCAAAATGTGTGCGACTTACCGCCCCTTTTATTTGTATATATGAGAGTTGGTCTCTTTACGCCACAATCCTACAGATATCATTCTTCTTGATTGCATGTTGCATGCTGAATATGTTTTATCTTGTCTCGTGTTGCAGATTATTCTCAGATTATTTTCATCAGCATAATTAGTCCATTTGGGATGTCGAAATGTCAAATTATATACTACACGTGCATGACATGTGCATGTCTGTGTTCAATATGTTTGTTTTAAGTTTGTATACAAACGTATTCATCTAGTTTTATACATATTTTATTTCCTGTTTGCTGATTTTGTCAGTATTATACAAACAATAATTTAATCTGTGTGCAAATCTTGAAGCAACACTCATGGATTAAAAAGATTTTCAGTTCATTAAGTCTGTATGTGAGCCAAGGTGGTTTGGGAAGTGTGGCGGCACTGGCTGACTAAAAAGAAAGTCGCTGGTTCAACCCCGGTGTAGGCCAAGATAGTTCCTCTTGATTTTCGAATATGATTTCCCCTTTTCAACTGGTCTATGATGGATTAGATGCAGGTCCCATGTACAAATTGCTAGTGCACACCAAAGATCACTGAGCAGCTGGAATTCCAAACTCCTCATATCACACTGCATGACGTATGGTCTTCTTCATTTCCCGGTTAGTTCAGATATGCAAGACGTAATCCCATTGATTGCCATTTACAGTTAGTCAAGGACTGAGATCAATGACTCTTGACAGAAAATGTCTTTAAAACTATTATTGTTATGACATATCAAGCTTGTCAATTACTGATTTATAACGACGTCCTCTCCTCTAGCCATAGACAAGCTGAATTGAAGATTAGTAGTACAGGTCAAATTGCATCATGCATTGCCATTGTAGTAAGAATATCACATAATACCTTCCCGCTATTTACACTGGGGCGCGATAAAACGTAAAATATCAGGTCCTGGTCTAGGCCAGATAAAATTAAATGTGCCCAATTACACTGTCAGAGCCAAAGCCGTTATATCTAGTTCATTTAAAGACAAGTTAATTAAAGAATGGTCATGAAATAGGGCCTACAGTTCCGGTCACTACTAAAAGCACGCGCATATACAATGAAATAACCGGGAAAGACTCAGTTGCCATTTGCACTACAAAACATTTAACCTAATCATAGTAGATCCCGGGTTTAGAAAACCTCGCATCGGTGGGTTTGTTCTAGTCAGGAAAGCGTACGTTACGACCCGTTTCAATTACTGTAAATTTTCCGCAACGGTTCCAGGTCCAAACAAAGTAAACGACCAACTTTCGTAGTTTAAATGAGGTTTGACTTTGATTCCTACACTGAATGAGGGATGTCTGAGGTGTTTCATCAACGTGTAGCTGTAACCGACACAGTTTAGGATGTACCACGTACATTCACTATTCTAGTATTCCCTCTATTCTTGAAACCATTTATGAATAATTTACGACGTAGGTTCGCTATTTGACCATTTTGAACAATGATAGAAGCATTCAAATGAAAACCGTTTTGAATGAAATGAATCTATCTGATGAATACTGTCCGGGTTTAATCAAGCAGTCTGCTCAAGAAGACGAGATGCATAAAATCATTTCTATAAAACCCGTTTTACACATGATCGGTGGCAACGTTTTATACGGTTTACGTGAGAAAATTCCTGCCATATCACTCAATTCAATTTATTTTTATATTAAAGCCGTCTTCGGGGTAGAGGAGATAATGTGTAAACGCAAACTCTGATGATTGAAAAATGCAATTGGCTAGAATTGAGCTTAACAAGCAATTTCTGTCAAAGCGGCCTTGTTAATGTCTATTTTAACTAGCTATTTAGTTGGTTTTCAAACGAATGAAATTTCTGAGCCACAAAACACTTAGAAACCAATCTAACAAGACAGTTAGTAGAAGATAAGTTTCGTGTAAAAAATAACAAATAATATTTCGAATGTTTATTTCCACGTAGCATCGATGTTTTTGTCCTGTAATTCTGACACCCATTACAAGGAAATTTGTTCTGGATTGTGTATTAGGATGATCAAGATCGGCATTACTGGTGATTACTTTAAATGCTTTTTTTCTAATCTACAAATATTTTGAGAGTGTTTATTCGAAATTTAAAGATTAGTTGGATATGGCGACTTAAAGGAGCTAGACCTCCAACCCAATATTTTCCATAATATTCGAAATTAAAAACACAAATTATAATTCAATATTGGTGAATTTCAATCTATATTGATGTTGATATGTTGCCGTGAAACTATGCTGATTACACTATTTTGCCTTATTACACTATTTTGCCTATACCGTTTTTTTAGGACTTCGAATTTTGTCTAATGGTTTGGATTGTTCGTACTTGGTTTTATTTTATCCTAAAATCCAATATTTAAGACACAGTGAGCATTTTAAAAACAGTACACGAGTCATTGTGGGCACCAAAGGAACGAACAAAGAAAACATATCCTACTTCAAAATGAGAGAGTAATTAGTAATGCCTGATTAAAAACGATAAAATAATAATAATAAAAACGTTCAGAATGGACTAATTAGGCGTACGACTGTTTGCGTATTTCACCGAACATACATGTAATTGATTAGAAATTACAATAAACTAAAATTAAATATAAATCATTTTACATACACTCATATTATGTTAATATGTGCTTTTAGACCCATATATGGTTCCAAAGAATAGAGCAATACACCCTTTAAATAAGTTGCCCATTTCTAATATAAAATACACCTTTCAGTGGTTTCGTTATTAAGTCAATCTGCTTAGATAGTTAAGCAAGTGTCTCATCATATAAGACAGCTTGGGCCTTTGGGTATAAGATCAAGTTATTCTCGGGATTTATATGACATAGAATGACACAGGCTAGACCGAGCTAACCTCGACATTTCTTATAATTTATAACTGAATATACCATTGAAGATCCAAAAGTCTTCATTTATCTGCAATACATGAACACATTGTTCATTTTCAGTATTTGTTGAAAAAAATACTTAGACAAAATAAGGTGCTAGCTTTCTGCAACAGCCGCGGTAATGAAGACGGGTATACACCATAATGCGTTTTAATGGAAGGAATGTTGCACGGGTTGCACTTATTCTGATTTCCATCTGGAGCGGGTCTTCAACGGCCTTCCAAAGGTATACACAGGATCCTGTTTTCTTTCCATCTGAACTGCTAAACGCTTCCTAGTTGATCCATAGTTGTCGAATCCAGACGTAATGCAGTATTGGTTACTGAGTGTTAGTAATTTCCCAGATAAAAGCTTTACGTGAAGTCAATTCATTTGAATATTCTCGTCAACGACTTAATCCGAAACCGACATGGTGGAGCGAAGACGATCATTCATTTTTCAAGCATTTCCTATTAAAAATGGAAGTAACCTAGGTCAATAAGATTATTCGCCCGGAAACAACGAAATAAAAGATGTTATATGTCACGAAAAGGGGCAACGAACCTCGCATATAATTAATTCTCAAATAATTATGATGATCAACGGGTTAAACACACATAGCATGATCTTTAATTGATCTTTTATCAAGCGATATAAAATATTGGCAAAATGATATTGTTCAATTTTCTTCTACAAATATAAAGAAAATGTTATTTTTATTAACGCGTAAAAGACATTTTGTTATAAACCAGAAAATACTAGTATAACGTTCTTCCATTATCTCAAAATAAATTTCACCTATAGATATCAATTACATCTGTATGTGCAGAAGCTTTTAAGCTTTCACGTCATGACATTTTGTTTATGATAATTTCTTGAGAAGGTACACGCGCTGCTGAGAACAAGTACTGTTATGTTGTGTGCTACAATTAAAAGAGAATGTCTGATAATGAAGCTTTAAGGCAGCAAATATATTTCTTTATGATTAGATGTTTCGCTCTGATCTGTCTTGGTTGATCTACCCATTTGTTATCAAAGGCCCAGATGAAAATAACCATGTATAAAAATGGTTCATATTACGGTATTATTTATAGTCTGTCTTTCTTATTTCACACCTCAAAATTAAACCATTGAACAGAAGGTCGATAGATAATTCGTCACCCGTCTACAGTCAGCTAAGATTAAAATCTAAAACCACTTTAGCTAAAACCTGAATAAAAGTCGACAACCTTTACTCAGAACTTTGAAACATTCATTTAACTTGGAACAATGTAACACTGAGAAGTGTACTTGTGAAGTTAAATTCTGTGTATTATTTTGTAGTTTCATTTCTTTATCGTTTTAATTTGGTAAACTGATCAACTGTTTTCACAAGGACAAAGAAGACTTGTAATTAAGAATTTTCACGGCTTCATATCCAATTTCCCCCGAATGGCAACTAAATTAACATCCTTCGGGCCTTTTACATCTTCATCTGCGGCGCAAGCCAATTTATAGAAGACATACACCACGCAAGCAACTGCATGTACCCTTATGTCATATCAGCAGTCTAGGAAAACTTACCAAGTTAGTCCCAAGTTGAATGATAACCAGCCAAGCTTTAGATCGAGGGTTGGTTTAATTGTCGACAAGTAGCGACGTATTGTTTTATTTGCCATAATATGCGAAATAATGAATATCAGTAAAATTGATTTCTATTTATGTCAAATGTTGATGTTCTATGTCATGTGCACGGAGTAACGTTTTATAGTATTATTTGTTAGATGATATTTCCATATTGATGTCATTTTTTTACGATTTCACTTTAGAATATTTTTGTTTAAAGAATATTTTGTATGTTGGTACCATGGGTTGGAAACGTTCTGTATTAAACAAAGTTCTTAATACAAAGACTGTATGTGACAAATTGTAAGGGGTAAACAAAGACAAAGTGTCTATAAAAAGAAAGAAAACCGAACAAATTTAATAGTAAAGTAGCTTGCTAAATGGGGCAACTGTCAAATAACATAATTATGACACATTCATATATATAACACCAGTTACTCGCAAGTTTATTTCTGGTGACGCCTCGATGAGGGTTGCCTCCTCTTTATCAAGCAAAGATGTACTTGCGGTTCTCTGTACAGTATTCAGATTGGTAGTTCATGAATATCCTCTATCTCCATATGTGATTCAACATGGTTACCGGATTCTTACAACAAATAATTAGTCCTTAGATATAACTGGGACCGTTAAATGCATATGTATTTTTGTTTGTTTTAATCGGTAACGACAAAAAAAAAATACAATAAACTTGTTTTTCACTAATACTCTTGAATTTTGATAACTTGCACAAATTGCTTAGTAGAGCAAACTAAAATTTCATTATGTCTGATCTAATGACAACATCTTGAAATAAATTGAAAGTTACGTTTTAGCGTTTAACTGGAATTAGGCGGCTAAATATAATTTACTCCTTTTTTTCAATTCATTTTCTAGCATATATATCATTTGTTGAGAAATTGTAAAATAATTTCAACAGACATCTCAATCACACAGTTTGAAACAGAATCGCGCCTATTGCTCAAAATAATGAAAAAAATGTCATGCTATATTAAAAGATGTAGTTATATGATTTGTTTTCGGTTTACTATTTAATCTTGAAAACTATGACCTTGTCTGACCGCCGAAATGATAGATGGTATTCTAATATAATAACCGTCCATTGTTTACGATTATTTATTGTTCTCTTTAATATCTGATTCTAAAACTCATCGACCATTAAAAGCACGACAAGTTTGGGTAGTTTACATAATTTAAAGTAGCTAAGTCTCTAACTCAATATCATCCAAAATCGTCAACAATGAAAACACGAATTATTTGTCAATTTAAATCAACGTTGATGTTGTGATCTTACCGGGAAAAGGTAGGCTTCTGATATCCAATATTTAAGACAAAATAAACATTTTACAATTGGTACACAAATCGTGTACCATAATGCGTTTCAGTCCCATTTGTAATATACTCCACAAGTCATGTCAAACAGTGACGTCATATTCTTATCTGGAGAGCATGTTCAATAAATACTATCGGTGTAGACTGGAATAACCAGGCGCAAATGATTGCCATTCGATTGAAACTCATGGGGGTATTTCGCCGAACATAACTGATTTGAAATAGCGTAAAAACGGAAACGATTGAATGCAAATCAGTTATAAACATTCATATTACAGTATTATGCCTTGTGACCCATTTGTGTCAACTTCTAGGTCCCAAATATTAGCGATTTAGCTGATCTAAAGGACATGATTGGCATTTAATATTTCGCCACGTTGGTCATTTTGAGACTAACATGCCGTATACGGCAGCGTGCCGATCAACCACCACAGCCCCACCTCGCCCCATCAACTACATGGGCGTAAAGATGTAACCATTTAGTTTTATCTATTAATGTATCTGGATGTAGCAACACTTGTACGCACATAGCTATTTAGCAAACTTCTAAGGATAAATATTGAGTTTCTTGTTGTATATCGACATGCGTAACATTGGACTGACAAGAATTGCCTTGCCTTAAATCTTTACAATCCCTTATCAAACAATTTGAGACGGATCAGTTCCATCACATTGCAGGAAGTTTTGAAGGGGGGCAGGGGACTTGGTAAAGAAGTAATTCTACTCCTTAAGGTACCATTTAAACCCTTTAAAACATACGTACTTTAAAATTTATTTTGAAATAGCGGACATGCCTATAACATATATTAGGGACTGCTGATTCATGTTAGTTAAAGTGATGCCAATGCCAACATTCAATTTCTGTAGTAAAATACGTATTTGTTCATTTTACTTCAGAATGTTACTTGTCTTTAAGGATTTCAAATATGTCATAAAAATGTTTATTATTCATTCTATATTCATTGTTTATATATTCATTAAGTAAATTAAGGGAATAGTCACATGCAATTTCATAGTTTATACTTTATTATCCTGTTGGCTTACTGGGATTTTGTTTGTAAAAAAAAATATGTCCTCTGGCAATGTCAGTATAAGGTAATGCTTTTCTTAATGTGAAACTATCCCTTTACAAACTGTAAAGATTCCATGAACAAATAAAATGGACAATTTTTGTATCTTACAAGTGAAACTGGTGCCATATTTTTTGCTCCAATGTGGCGGAAATTCAGCATTTATATTTTCAAAACGCAACAAAACCATTTCGGGTTGAAATGAATTCATTCTCTTTTTATATGCCTACATTAAAATACTGTATTTTGTCGCAAAGTCTGCCTAAGGACAGAGGTTATCCTTCGATTACACATGAGACTAAATTTATCATCGGATTGACATCTTTATGGACTGCACGGACGACTTAGCTAACATATTCTCATGTTTTGTTCCCTTTCAACCTATCGTTTCAAAAATTGAAGATATAAAATTGTCCATTTTTTACGTCATAATACTTAATATCGTTATCCATTTATTTACACTATGGTTATGTCCGGTCTTTACAGAACACGGAAGTAGTAAATCAGGGTCATCGAGGACACACAGACATCCTGAACACAGTTAGTTTACTTTCATTTTACTTTCATTAAATAAATATACACAGAATTAAAGATTGTATAACTCATATACTCTTACATTGTATTTCAGTGTTTTTGATTCTCATATCAAACCAGTATTTGATAAATTCACTCGTGTTTGCTAAACTCATCAAACAGGTTGTTTTATATGAAATGTATTGACAGAAATACTTACACGCTGGCAATAAAATATTTTTCGTGAAAGAGCTATTTGTATCAATTTAAACATGCGATAATACATGTATGTCCATGTAGATCCTATGGTGGTTATTAGATCAGCTAAATATTTAAAGTGCGATTATTCGTAAAATTAAGTAGAACTTAATTTCATAAATTCGCATTCTGGCGTAATGTAAGGATATACTTAAGGCCAGGGTCGGTTAAGCATGCATGGGACCCAGGCTGTAAATGTCACTGGGGCTCTGGCATCGACAGTGAAAAGGGTGCATAGTGTCTGTCACACAAATGCAATTCGTATGTCAATGTGTATGCCTTGCCGTAGCTGTGACAATGATATACCCCCTTATCAAACTATATAGGTAACAAAGAAATGACGTATTTATTTATGGTACAATTGTTTTTAGAACTAAATTGGAGGCCCCTTTAATATTGGGGTCCTGGACTGTAGCCCAGTCAGCCCCCTCCTCATTTCGACCCTGCTCAAGTTACTTTAAATACGAATGTGCTCACTCCCAAGTATCACTTAATTCTTGTTATGTTTTGTTTGTTATGTAATGAATTAGAACATAAACTGATTTATAAAACAGGGTTTTTTTTATAATAAATGTATATGTACCAACTTCTGCTGTAAGCTGATTTATGCTGATAAGTGAATATTTTGTTTATATGAAAGTTTTTATTTAACATTAAATATATCAGGTTGATGGAAACCAAACTACTAACAAATATTTGGCATTTTACTGCATCTTGCTATTATTACATCACGTGTTTATTAACGAGACTTGGTGAGACTTGAGATAAATCTGCCGAGTGAAACATCCCGCTACCATATTACTGATTATTATCACGTGAATGCCAGCATGAGCCTTGTTTGATTAAATGATTTTCTGCTGTGAAAATAGACCCAACGAACCGAGTTTCATATCATTTTTTTTCTCTTTACATTATGACATTCGATGTATAAATTCAATGCAGAATATTACTAATCGTAATTAGAAAGGGTATCAAGTTGCCAAAGAAAACGGCAATGTTGTTCATGTCGAACACCCTAGTAACAAAAACATACCTTTGTAAAAGGAATTACATTGCATGGACTGGTTATATTATCTTATGTAAAGACGACATTCATTTATAATAATTATATAATTATTATATTATCATCTCACTATGATCATCAGTACTAAATTAACTGAATAGTGTATCCCCAATAGAAATATGTGTCATGTATTTTGTGTCTTTCTTTTTCGCAGGAACCGCCAGTTCTAATAGCTCTACCAGAGTTACTGCCATTTTATTGGTGTATATGTTATCTATTGTGACGTCATCAGGATATTTGTACAGTGGTTCTTGATACTAGCAAATAGGATCGAAGATGTGCCTTCAAAATATATAGTCAAGACGTGATTAACCAGTGATAGTGAGCAAGCTGAATATAAATAAATGCTGTTAACCTGTTGATCGAGACTACAATTATTGTTCATATTTTGAACTAACCAACGAGAGTGTTTTGAGAATGTTTAAATGACATCATTAAGTTATTTAAATGAAATACCGTGAATACTGTTAATTGTTTATATTTTCGCAAATATTGAGAACTGTACTTATATACCCCAAATCTAATAAGTTTTCATCTGACGGTACATATAAGAATATATAGGAGAATATATGAATATGACGGGTTTAATAATATATGTATGTATATATATGTAAATACTACTTTACTAGGACAACTTGATTTTTTGAAAATTCAAAAAGAATTATTGTGTGTGTTTTTCTATCGTTTTGTATCGTTGGAGATTGACATCTGCCTGTTTGAGGTTACATCATTGAATTTTCGGAAATATGTTTTCCTTATATACCATCAACCTTATATGTAACAAACTATACTGTATGAGAAGATAATGGTTATGTGTGACGCCCAAACCTATTTGTTGTGAACATGTTGTGAACAGTGTTACATATTAATAACATAGCTATGGAATGCTAGGACACAAATGACCCACAATAACGAAATTATAAATAGTGTGCTAAGCCTTATAGTATGCACTGAACAATTGGCATTGATATAGGAAATAGCACATATTGCTAATTGCGATGTTGTCATTGCTAAACTTGATGCACCTAACATAATCTGTTGCATCAATGTTGTAAGCATTTCACATTTGCTTTTTAAAATTGGTCATCTTTTCTGTAATATATTTCGACATATTTTCTATTGATTCTCAATTTCCAATGTATAACAGTGGATCCACAAACCCATAATTGTTTTTATTACGTATTACAATATACTCACGCAATATAACATTATATAAGTAATTTTGTTGGTTTTTTTAAAGACATATCAACAGTTTCACATACCTCATCCTTGTGGATAAAAGTGTTTATCGTGTAACATTCTTGAAATTCACCATTTTACAAGGAATACAGTAGCAAGAAGAAACAAAGAACGTGTTAAAATTAGCATTTGTCATCGATCACAAAGCGTCAATCTCCAGCACCCGTATTGCATTTTCCAATTTAATTATTACTGCCATTTCATCACCGACAAATTAGTTGGCCAAGAGGCTTTTTGATATTTTCATTTCAAAGTTTTTAGACTAACTAGACATTTTGTTTAAAATTGTTTTTCCATATGCAAGATGTGTTTGTAATTCTAAACCTACAAAATAGTTGAGTTAAATTGCACTTATTAATAAATACGACGATTATTAGCTACCAATTGAATATAACCCTTTTTGATTAGTATTGTTGATTAATTTATTGAGATGTAAATTATATGTCAACTAAGTGTCATTTAGTTTGATACTGTAAAGCGAGAAAGTAATTGTACACATTTTACAATGCATGAAATAATAATGACCCCATCCATGGGCACTTTTATTTTATTGCAACACAAGCAGCTCAAGCCCGGCCGACTTCTATTTCGCATCACTGTGCATTTCACAATAATATATTGTTGATGACGATTCTTGCTTTACAGTATTATGTACATTGCCTAGTGTCATTTTAAATATCATGAGAACCTTTTGATGGTTGTGATTGGTCGTATGGAGATAAATTGTGTTAATTTGTATGTTTTATTTTGTAAATATGAATATTATATATAAAGATTTGATGTATTATTAAATATGTAAAATAAAATGTCGTAGATCCACCCAAGAAATAATGTTTACATTTCGGTATGTTTTGAAATGGGTTCTTAATGGACGATCATGTAACCGATCTACAGTACTTCGGATTGAATTTTGAGGGTTTTCTGACAAAGGAAATATTGAAATGCGAGCAACAGTTGGAAGTAACCGGTATGAAAACAACGGTATTACCTTTTAAACATCAATATTAAATTCATTTAGGCAAAAGAAACAAATACACGTGTTTACGTCACTTGATCAGATTGGGTAGAATTATCTGAACTAAAAAATTAATCCTTAAATAATTACATCGACACTTGCATTCTCAAGTCTTTGTTTTTAACACTCGAGCTTAATTTCTGAGTAAGGTTCTGGAAAATGATGCAGATTCGAAGCTTTGTAAATACCGAAATTCCAGTGTCTAGGTTTATTTAACATCCGCTTCCACCGAAGTGATCGCCGAAACCACACCAGGACCGATTTATAGCGACATGGGAAATGTGGGATAAAGGTTTTAAGGTCTGTGATTTGGGCTCCAAAAATGAGGGTCCGTGGGGTCACCGTATGTTTTGTTCTGAAAGCTCTTTTTGGCGAGCGCATGTTCAAACATTCTATATGAATTGCTCAGTCTACTATTGTTATAATTACCTCATATCTCCATTTACAAAACGATTATATCCTTTGCACATAGGCTTGTTCGTGTCCAATGTTCATTTTGTCTTTTAAAGATGGACATTTTGAATCGGACAGGCTATATCTCTTTAAAGTTTTACAATATACGAAATATTTGAAATTCCAGGCTCCTATCATTGCCTTGGTGGCCGATACATCTGAGTGAATATCTCGTTATTTCCGTACCCTCCAAACGACAAGGCGCTGTTCCCTGCGAGGCCCTTCGCCCTGCACCACTGACAAGGTGGAAACGCCGAAAAATCCCGAGAAACGTTCTCGGACATCAGCGGGATCGACCCCCGATAAGCTCTATTATTGACCTCAACTAAGCCTCCTGGTTATACACTTTGTCCATAAATGGTTTATGATATCGGCCATACAAACATGTATATAATAGAAAATTAAGAGCACGTTGTACTTGTTTGTGGTTTATAATAGTTATTTTGCAAAGTACACGGGGTTTCTTTAATGGTCAGCATATTTAGTTATACCAGTTACCCAACATAAAGCCCATATCGGCGTCGACGAAATTTACATACGTGATAGGTTTGTTACACTGATTCCAAGTATGATATAGTGATCTTTGCTATAACCACGATATTGAAGATTCCGGAAGTGACACAGAAATAGGAAAATCAGTTGTTGATACTGAAAGAAGTAGGTAATGGCAACAGCTACACAACACTGTTCGAAACCGAATATTCACAAATTAAGAAAACCTGATGCCACGATATATTAGAAACAAGGAGAACAGGAGCATCGGTACCGCTGCAATATACGTCCATATTCCTGGGGGTCTGGGCATGCACCAAAATAAATAATTGCTGTCTTAACCTTATAAGAAATAAATATGTAAAGTTCCAAAATGATCCATTCAGAATTGCAACCTGCAGACGATAAACACAAAATTTGGGCGTGGCTCCTGAGTGTTGTATATGAAACAATATAAATAGGTACAACCCTATGGTGGATCACGCCGAATTTGATCCAAATCTGTTAATAATTGTTACCTTTAGATTATTTACAGACAAAATATTAACACTTAGTGGGTGTGAAATATTGTATTTGTATTCATGTTTAATTGTCTATGCAAACCAAACGAATTATATTTATATGCAAAAATACAAAAGAAATTTGTTTGGTACGTTGACTCCCGAAATCAGAAAAGAAATAGAATGTTTTAGAAAGAGTAAGCACATTCAATTGGCTGTAAGACACTGATCCCTACCAGAAGAAAGACGTCGGTTGCAAAATCCGGAGCTATATTACTCATCCGACAAATTAAACATGTACTTAAATACACCTATTTGATGAATTAAATCACAACTGTAACCAGGCCTGAAATTCACAAAATTTGCAAGTAGTAACTTTCACTTTGGATGGGAAATGAATAGGGGTACAATAAATATCATCTTTAATGTTTTATAGTATAAGCAGCATTGCTTTCTAACAGTAACTAATTTTCAATTTTTGCGTCTCTACCTGTATATTCAAATCGTGGTTACACTATATTTAAGATCTCCATGTTATATTTGTGATCTGTTCAATTATTGTATAGCACATTTGTAACATCGGTTGACGCTGATACCGTCTTTTAAGAGAGTCTGTGAATGTAATAAGCCACAACAGTCCTACAGAAGCTTATAGGAAATGAGTTAATGCTAACCGTCTTATATGAGCAATGTAATGCATGATCAATGGTTGTTGTGTTACCTATAGAGGTTGCCATGAGAGACGACTGCAAGTATTATGGAAACCGAAAAGTACCCTTTTTAAGAAGTTTAAAACTAAGCGCGAAGAAGCCAAACCGTCGGAAGGAATGGTCACGACTTCGCTTTGTTTTGGTAGGAGGTTCAGCGCAAAGGCAAGAAATCATCAATAGGAAGGTAAGGAGTCGATTTCTTGCCTTATTGCTGTTAATAGCTCGGTGGTCAAAGCTGGGGAAGATAAGTTTCTTTCTCGATGACGGTATGGAATCGGACCTACTGAATTCATTTTCCGTAACTGAATCACTTGTCAGTCTGGAGAGTTTTGAGTATTTTGGGTTTTCTTTAAACGAAACCAACACCAAGGTGACGGCAAGGTATAGTAGTGTGTACAATTGAAAATGGGCTCATCTACACGCTCATCTATTGCACATTATCATGGACAATGAAAGCAACTCCCAATCTGTGCAGGGTTATGTTTCATTCTGTTTTGCATTCTTTTGTTATATTTCCGTTTTTTGTTATACTTTATTTTGTTTATTTTGGGTTCTCTTAAAACGAAGCCAATACCAATAAGGCGATGGCAAAGTATAGTCAGTGTGTACAGTTGAAAATGGGCTCATCTTCACGCAAATAGATCTATTGCACATTAACATAAACAGTGAAAGCAAAACTCCCAATCTATGCAGGGTTCCGTTTCATTCTGTTTTTATACTCTCACATTTTGATGTGGACGTATTATGCCGTCGTCCCTGTCTGTCGGCCCACATTTGTTTATGGACACTCTACATTTCACAATATTTATCCGATTTTGACGAAATTGGCATGTATTGGACCATAACTTATAGCCCCCGATTGTTCGAAAAATCATGTTTTTAGCTTGTAGAGACTCTAGAGGTCACAATTTTCATCTGATTTTGATGAAACTTGAAATGCATGTTTATAACACAAATTTATTGGTCCCTTTATATATGTGCGCTTATCGGATCGTAACTTCCTGAATTATTGCCCCTGATTGTACGAAATATCGCGTTTTTAGCTTGTGGTCACACTTATTATCCGATTTGAAAAACAAACGTTTAAATATATCGAATCGCCGTTACACCATTATGTCGGTTGAGTTCGAAGTTCAGGAAAATCGGACCAAACTGTGGGAGAAAATGGCCGCTCCTAGTGTAAAAATATGGTATATCAAGGTTGTGGATCCTCGAGAGGTCATAATTTTGATCCATTTTTGATGAAATTTGAAACACATTTTTATAACCCTTGCGATATTCGCGCATATGGGATCGTAACTTCCTGAATTATGACCCTTGATATTACGAAAAATCGCGTTTTTAGCTTGTGGTCCCTATAGATGTCACAATTTGTATCCGATTTAAAAAAAAAACCCACAAAGGTTTGAATATTTCACCGTTACATCCTAATGATCGTTGAGTTCGAATTTCGTTAGCATCGGACTAAAACTGCCAGACAAAATGGTCGCCCGTCGTACGCAAATATTGTAAATATAGTATATCAAGGTTGTGGACCCTCTAGAGGCCACAATTTTATATCACAAATGTCTCGGTTCCTTTCAATAATCGTGCATATCCCAACATAACTTCCTGGTTTATGGCGCCCGACTGTACGAAAAATCACATTTTTAGCTTGTGGATCCGCTAGAAGTCACAATTTGTATTCAATCCATAATCCAGGAAATTACGTTGGGATATTGTGGCCTCTAGAGGGTCCATAGCCTTGATATACCATATATTTGCATTATTAGCATACGAGGGGCGGCCATTTTGTCCGGCAGTTTTGGTCCGATTTTCTCGCAATTCAAACTCAACCATCATTAGGGTACAACGGTGATATATTCAAACGTTTCTTTGATATCAGATAAAAATTGTGACCTATAATGTGACCACAAGCTAAAAACGCGATTTTTCGTAACATCAAGGGCCATATTTCAGGAAATTACGATCCGAAAATCGCGAATATCGAAAGGAATCAAGATCTTTGAGTTATAAACATGTATTTCACGTTTCATCAAAATTGTGACCTCTAGAGGGTCCACAACCTTGATATACCATATTGTTACACTATTTGCATACGAGAGGCAGCCAGTTTGTCCGGCAGTTTCACGAAATTCGAACTTAACCACCATTATGGTGTCACGCTGAAATAATTCGGATAAAAACTGTGGCGTGTAGAGGGTCCACAAGCTAAATACACGATTTTAAGTTTTATCAAAATCGGATAAAAATTGTGACCTCTAGAGTATCCACAAGCGAAAAACATGATTTTTCGTACAATCAGGGGCCATAATTCATGAAGTTACGGTCCGATACATGCCAATATCGAAAGGAACCGAGATCTTTCGGATATAAACATATATTTCAAGTTTCGTCAAAATTGTGGCCTGTAAAGTGTACACAAACACATCGTGGACGGATAGGGGCGACAGCAATATACATCCACATGAAAATATGGGCGTATAAAAACATATTGCATGTATCATACAAAGATTAACTGAAAACATTTTACAATGCTATAGACAATATCGTGTTGTTCCGGAATCACGTTTCTGTTGGAGAGCAAGGATTTTTGGAGCTCCCGTGCATTAGCTATTCAATGATCGAGGCTGGTCTACTAACTAGATT